CTGGATCCTGCTGGAAAACCAGGAGCACTTCCCGGCCTTGCCACTGCTCCTTTCCCTCCTCCAGCCCCTAAATCCCGGCCTGGCTCCGGTTAATCCTTTAATTTCATCTCCTGGAAGCGCTGCTATGCTTTAAAATCTGATTGTTCCTTAAAAATCCCAAGATTTCTGGAGATTTAGGGATCCCTGGCATCGTCGGGATACTGGAAAATAATTGAAAAAAATATCCTGGATAATAATTGATATTTACTGAACACTTCATCGTTGTCAAATCCAAATTAAATCCTAATTAAACTTTCTCCAGGAAGGAGGATGAGGAAGGATGGCGTTGCTGCTGCGGGGTGAGCAGGGAATCCTCTGGATTGGGAATCTGGGGGATTTATCAGGATTTTGGACAGGTTGATCTTCATTTTGGGCAGGTTTCTATTGATTTGGGGTGGGTTTAGCTTGGTTTGGAGCAGGTTTATTTTAAGCTGAAGGGCTCCGTGCTGGAGTGTGGAGCTGAAGTGGCTCCTCCAGCCCTATTCCCATCCCAGAATTAATGAGGAAGGATTTTCCCGGGGGGAATGGAGCAGGTACAGAGCTGCTCCTCCCTCCCCTGCGAGGGAGAAGGGCTGTCAGAAATAATCCTGGAGTTTAAGGATGTGAGCAAGGACTTTTATGGATTTAACAGGAAGCTCCAACGTAATTTCCCACTAAAACTTGTGTCAATAAATCATTTTTTAATTATAAGCTCCAATTATCAGCTAAGCTCGGCTTAATGATCTCTGGAGTGGTTCCTCCTTCTGAAGCCCGGGAAGGAACTTCTCCTCCTTCCTCTGGAGCTGCTGCTAATTTTTTTCCCAGCTCCTGGAAAATCCTCCCCCCGGTGCCCGTGTGTCTGACGGGATCCGAGTGAAATCCAAGCCTCTCCAGAATCAGGGGCTGTCCAGAGGCGCATCCAAAGCTGCATCCAAAGGCTGCAGCTCCGTCCCAGCCCCGGCACAGCCCATGAGCCAGGCATCGATTGAGGGCCCCGCCGGGATCGGGGTCACGTTCCCACATTCCCGGGAATGCTCAGGAGCGCCCTGGGGGTTATTTCAGGATTTGGGACACGAGGCAGTGCTGGGGGAATCCCCGGGAGAAGGGGCTGGATGATTCCCAGCTCCTTGGGATCCAGTGGATCCCTTTTGTCTGTGCTCCAGGGTCTGCAGAGGGATCCTTCCCATTCTCCAGGGGATCTGGGCTGGGAATCGGGAGGAGGAGTTAACAAGCTGGGAAAAGAGGAGATAAATGGCTCTGGAATGCTCCAGCCTAACTCAATGGACCAGGGATGATTCCTGATGGATTGAGCTGGGAATGGAACAGGGAATGGAACAGGGAATGGAACAGGGAATGGAACTGGGAACGGAGCTGGGAATGGAACAGGGAATGGAGCTGGGAACAGGCTCGGAATGGAACTGGGAATTAAGCTGGGAATGGAACTGGGAATTAAGCTGGGAATGGAGCTGGGAATGCATCCAACTCCTGCATCCAATGGATGCATCCAACACTTGCATCCCATGCACGGCACCAACAAATGCATCCAGCACTTGTATCCAACACAGGCATTCCATGCCAACACCCAGCACGTCCATCCCTGCATCCCACCCCTGTTCCAGCACAGAATCCAAGCCCTGCATCCCACTGGGAGCACGCCCCAGCTCATGATCCCGCAGCGTTCCCCCATCCTCATCCTCATCCACAGGCAGGGAAACGCTGCCTTCCTGCTGTTTCCAACCCTTCTCCCACTTTTCCCTGCCTGGATTTCCTCCCTGGCTGCTCTGGAGAGGGATTTCCCATCCTTGGGCAGGGTCACGCCGGGGGTAGCGGCATTCCAGCCGCTCCAGGATGGATGGGGCCGTTGGAGCAGAGCTTCCCTGCCATTTATCCTCTGCCTTTCCCTCCTCTGGATTCCTCCCCTCTGCTCCCAGGCCAGGAGACAGCACGGATAGATTTTCTAAGATCCTTTCTTCTCCATTAAAAAAAAAAAAAATATTGGATGGCGGCATTGACAGAGCCGCGGGTGTAAAAGGACAAGGAAATATTTCCAAACGGTTTCTCTGGCAGCTGAGAATTCCAGCTCCTGTCGCTTATTGACCTCTAATTGTTTCCAGTAGGAGCAGGAGACAGGAAGATCAATAGGGATGGGAGAGAGTTAAAACCCTCCTGGTGCACTTAACTGTAGTTAGGAACCACTGGAATTCATCTTCCCGGGATTTCCAGCTGTAATTGGAACATTGGGACTGCTCCGTGCTCTGGATTCCGTGCAGAGCATTAATTCCCTCCCCAATCCCGCTCCTCGCCTGGTGCCAGGGCTCGGAGCAGCCTCGTGATCCTCCAGCTCTCAGGGTTTGGGGGTTGGAAATCCAGGAGACCCAAATTTGGGGGAATTTTAGAGGAGCAAGAGGATTCTGGCCGCTGGAATCCGAGGGGAAAGAAGGGATGGATGAATGGAGTGAGGAGAGCACAGACACACCAAGATACGGGAGAGGATGTGGGAATGAGGTCCTGGAGAGGCCGGGAGAGAGGCCCAGGGATGGAGCTGGATTTTCCCACATGGAGCTGAGGTGGCTGGGAATGTTCTGGGTGATTTTGGGGTGTCAACCAGGTGGCCACCACCGACTTGGTCCCATCCCTGCCACCAGCGTTTTCCTGGGAATTGAGGTCCCCTGGGAGCTCCTCTGGCCGGTGTTGGTGCCGCAGGTGCCGATGGAAGCTCCTGGTTCCTGATGGAAACTCCTGGCTCCCAATAAAAGCTCTTGGCTCCCAATAAAATTTCCCAGCTCCCAATAGAAACTCACTGTTCCCAATGGAGGCTCCCAGATCCCTATGGAAGCTCCCAATAAAAGTTCCCAGTTCCCAATGGAAGTTCCCAGTTCCCAATGGAAGCTCCCAGTTCCTGTTGGAACCTCCTGATTCCTGTTGGGAGCTCCCAGTTCCCGATGGAAACTCCCAGTTCCCGATGGAAGCTCCCAGTTCCCGTTGGAAGCTCCCAGTTCCCAGTGGAAGCTCCCAGTTCCCAATGGAAGCTCCCAGTTCCCGATGGACACTCCCAGTTCCCGATGGAAGCTCCCAGTTCCCATTGGAAGCTCCCAGTTCCCGATGGAAGCTCCCCGTTCCCGATGGACGCTCCCAGTTCCCGATGGAAGCTCCCAGTTCCCTTTGGAAGCTCCCAGTTCCCGTTGGAAGCTCCCAGTTCCCAATGGAAGCTCCCAGTTCCTGTCAGAAGCTCACAGATCCCGATGGAAGCTCCCCGTTCCCATTGGAAGCTCCCAGATCCCGCTGGAAGCTCCCAGATCCCGTTGGAAGCTCCCAGTTCCCAATAGAGGCTCCCAGTTCCCGATGGAGGCTCCCAGTTCCCAATAGAGGCTCCCAGTTCCCGATGGAAGCTCCCAGTTCCCAATAGAGGCTCCCAGTTCCTGATGGAGGCTCCCAGATCCCATTGGAAGCTCCCAGTTCCCATTGGAAGCTCCCGGCTCCCGGCGCTGCTGTCACCGGGAATCAGGGCCCAGCCCTAATCTGTCATTAACGCATTCAGCACTAATTGCTGGCAGGGTGCCACGCGCCTATTTTCCCGTTTTAACAAAACATTTATGCATGGAAGATTTAATGCCAGGTATCAAGCATATCATTGTAAATTTACCACTAATTAAGCCTAATTAAAATAATTAAATGGCTGCGGAGTCACAATGTGAATGAAAATCACATTTCCTCTGGTGTGCTCGCCCCTCTCCTCGCTGGCCTCACTCCGGCTTCCCAACACAGATATTTTCCCATTTGGATGCAGGAAAAGGAGAATTCCATCCCCACCATAACTCTGGGATGGGAGGGGGGGAAGTTCTGCAATTCCAGAACCTCTGGAGATTTTCCTTTCTGGGGATGAAGGATGGAGAAGCTGAAAAATCTGTTCCTCAGAGCTGCTGCATATTCATCACTGCTCGGATTTTAAATCAAAGCCTGAGCCGTGAATAATGGATGGGATGGGATGGGATGGGATGGGATGGGATGGGATGGGATGGGATGGG